GGCTAATGTTTATTCCAATGAATGTTAAGGTTGGTGAATTTCATGTTATTTTCCCAAACACACAAAGGAAGGATTCTTATTATAACTTCAGAATTAAAATTGCTAGTGAATGTTTTGAGTAGAACTGGAATTCTGGGCTTGCTCAATTATCCATTGAAGGAGGGTAAAAGGGAGAGTATGAGATCGTAAAAACTTGATATGAATTTCCTTGAATGCAAACTTCCCTCAGAAAATATATGGAGGGGAATGAAAGAAGGGCTTTCTGTTAAACGTTTCAAACGGAGTTGACCGCACTTCTGAGAATCCCGGATAGGTTGCTTTCAACTGAAAATGAAGGATCACATCCGAGTTCATTAAGTCCGTTACTGCAAGTATCCCTCCCTTCATTGAGGTACCATCGCAGTAGCCTGCTGCAGAGGCGGTGGTGATGTGCGTCACGGGTAGAACGTCTTTTTTTACACTCCCTTGTATAACGAACAACCCTCCATAGAGGCTCGCGGAATCGTTGACATTTCTATTCATGAGGTTGAAAGATTGATCGGGATTGGGGAGTATGCTTGGAGTTCATCAAATGGGTCGATTCTCATTAAACATTATCAACATCTGGAAGATTCTGGACAGCAGTCAAAGAAGTTGCGCTCTTCTGATGATCGGAGATGATATGCAGAATTTCTAGTACGTATATTGAGGCTTCCCGGACAAAAAAATGATGTAAAAATATTTCGACATATTTTATGGGAAGGTTCTGTGCGTTCTATCTAAAGTCTGAGCTAAAATAAATAAGATCGTTTATTTAGTATTTTATGATGAATTATGCATTTTTTTATTTACGAAATAATGGTATTTAGGTATTCAACAGAGAAGTGTTTATGCTAAATGGTACAGAAACTGGTACGTTGAATCGGGCGAATTTGTTTGCATGGACATTTCCGAAGAGCTATCCACCCGAGAAGTTGGTCTATCATATCGAAGAACCACCGAAATACGGTATTCTATCAAGAAAGATCAACGGGAAAAGCCGTAGAATCGGTGTTTCGTCGAACTTCACACAAGCGGTAAGTAACCTCCACTAGCCTACCTTGACATCTTCGCGCAAAATAAATTAGTTAGTTTTGATCCGTGTCCAATACCGCTTATTTTACAGCGCAAACTTGATCTCATTTGTAGGGGCATTTCGTTTGAACGGGTTTCAGAGGTTGAGGGAAAACTCATGGGTTTCAAGGAAAATGTGGAAAAAAAGTGTTCGAGGAATCTTCATTCCTCATATTCACTTGGCTTATTCGTTGATGGAGCAAGCTTGATGGGATAATTTACTCAGGTGAAAATGGGGTCCAAGAGGGGATGACACTCGTTTTTTCTTTATCCTCATACTAGAGAACATTTTTGGAATCACTGAGGATAGGACAACATGAAGCCACTACGAGGACCTGTGTAGCGCCCTACATTCTACACATTCTGGCTGAATAATACACAATTGTTGCAGACTGGTCGATCAACCTCCCAGGCTAGGCGCTGGGATCCTGTAGCCGTTAGACTAGGCATGGGCGTCTATTCTCCCGGTTCAAGACCGCCTTTTTTTTGCCATTGGCAACGTTCAAAAGTTATAGGCCCTCAAGAGTATTTCCACACTTACCCTGGTTACTTATCACCAGTTGCATTTCATACTAGTGTTTTTTTTTATCCATCAATTAACAAATTGTTCCGTATCAGCATGAGGAGTATAACGATAGCTCCCCTCCCGAGTTCAGCCTCACCTTCACTCGTTGTTTATCAGTCATTTGTTTATGCTTTTCAATTGGCATGAACAAGGATGGCTGGGAGAGTAAGAGATCCAAGCAGTGATCACGGATGACTGGTGTGCTATGCGGATTCGATGACGTCAGGGGGAGAGGTTGGCAGGAGTAGTCCCAGCCATAGCCCCAGTGCGAAGATTGGACTAGTACACCTATGACCTTAAACGCGTACACAACAAAAACTCCTTCAGAGATGTGAGTGAGTGTCTTTCTTTTCTAACGGGCTAATAGCTGTAGTAAGCCCAAAAGAGTCCACTATGGAACAGAGTGTTGGCCAAAGTGATGTCGTATAGTTGCTGTGGAATACCGTATTCCGACAAGCCTTGCTCCCACCTGCCTCGACATTAAAGGAATCCTCCGGGAAAAAGCTCCGCCCTCATTACCACAGAAAACGATACCTTAAAGGAATCTTCCACGGAAAGAGTGATCATTTTGTCTTGTGTGTAGGATTAGTATTATCGAAACTAACGCTTATGTTCCGTTCTTTTTGCTATGCTCATGAGGCTAGGGGCCTAAGGGGTATCGTTTTTCTGTGGTAATGGAGGCGGAGCTTTTTCCGCGGAAGATTCCTTTAAGGTTGGGTGGAAGCCACCATTCGTGAGGAGCTCCAAAGTGCTCCTTCCAGCTTTTATCTCCTTCACTTCCCCGCGCTAGAAAAGTCACGATCTGATGGTGCGTGACAAAATTGTGAAAACCCGAGAAAGGACAATTGACCAAATGCCAAATTTGTGACATTCACGCTGTGAAATGGGATGACATTTCGGCCAAAAACGTAGCGTGCAGCCTTACGACGTGACCCTAAGGTGCACAAGAGTAACCGGAAGAGGTCACGCCCGTCTTTGTCGAAGAATGAGACAGGAAGTGGCGCGTTAGCACTTTACCCAAGACTTTTTTAGGACATCGACAACAAAGTGATCTCGTTCAAGTTACATTTCATGCAGTATTCAATAATCAATGACTTCTTTCTGTTCCGTGTGATTACGCCTGCTATTTCCTCGGAATCTCTACGATTTGAGGTTTGCGAGATTTGCCAATTTTTGGGTACAAAGAAAGCGATAAGGAGCATCGCTCAGTGGTTACGTGACATTAAAGTATTTATTAGTACCTTAGCTGTTCGCATAAGGAATAAATATTTGGTGTGACTGCCAACTAGCCCTTTTTATCGTTCTGTACATCAAATAATCTTTTAACCTCTGTGATTCCGAGCACAAGTCAAGTGAATGGCATTTTTTCAACGAGTTTAAGATTTCAGAGTTTCTGCGCTTCGATTTTTGTTAATCAGGCTCAGATGAAAGATTTCAGATTATTTTCATTCCCTCGCAGACATCCATCCAACTCGTTAACCGAACTGTCGTCGTACAGGAAGGCGAGTCAGCAATGTCTGAGTCTTTTGGTAGTTATTGCCAATAGACAAGAATACCATTGATGACCAAGCTGCACGCGCATGCGCGTCAAATCTTCACCAAGATAGGAGTACTTTCTGCTCTATTGACTTTTTATTTTTTCATGTTCTTCAACTGTGGGTCTATATTACCGGCCTAAAAGTAATGTTACCACGAATATTTACTCAGTTATGTCAACGAATAATGGTTTATCAAGAGGATAATGATCTTTTCAAATAAAAATACCCATAAAAATAAATAAATAAAAATATCCACAGAGACACGCACAGCGCACTGTCGTCAATGTGTTAAGGATGATTTCATACAGGGAATGGTTGTGACAGACTATAGTTGTTTTGTGTTCTTCTTATCCTCAAGCGCTGAAAATAGCCGAAAAGGCCTGAAATGGGGCTTTCAGATTCCAGTACGATACATTTTGGGCACTTCCAAACGATTCATCATACGTTAACCCGTCATCAATTGTTGTGACTCAACTGAGGACGACTGCTGCCCTTTTTAGCGTCTGATAGTATTTCTATTTGAATATACTCTGTATACTACCAAGCGCGTCCACTGGACGTATAGAAATAAATAAATAAATAAATAAATAAGCGTAAGCGAGGGAGATGCAGTGTCTAAAAAGACGGGCTAGCGATGTCGGTTCAGGATCAGCTCTGGATTGCGCAAATTCAACATGATGGACAGATGGGTCGATTGAATTTCTCGAAACGGTGGGGGAGGAGGGGTAGTAAATTTGGTCGCGTTGATGAATTCCAAAGGTGGTGGAGAGAAAACGATCGTATTTCTGTAGTTCAAGGGTCGCGGCGTAGCCACAGGGGTCTTGTTTGAGCGGTTTCGGGACGGATTCTGTGGCGGGAACCTTCATGTAAGAACAAGCAAGAAGTATGAAAAATAAATCTGAGAAAATTTAGTCCAACGCTCGACTGCCGTCGTGCGGGGGCGGGGGGGGGAAACGGGCGGAATGTGCTGCCGCAGAGTGATCTTAGATCGAAGGATTACAGAAAGGCCATCATGGTGAGGGTGGTGGTCGGGGAGGGGGAGTAACATATCGAGAAACTTCCAAGGAGGAACGGTGCGTAACATTCTTGAATCTGCCACAACGCCACGGTTCACTCTACGAGTAGCACCGAGGTAACGCGAGTGCGAATTTAGGCCAATCTGCGTTTCCATGCATTCAAAGCAAGCCTGGTCCAGACTCCACGTACGGCATCGGATGAACCTCGGCATTATGGCGCTGGTTGATCTCTCTTCTTATCTCTTCACGAGGTTGATAACGCTTGTTTGGTCTCGAACTTCAGTAGGGCTGCTAATGGGAAGACATTTGGTCGGTTAGTCATAAATTGTTTCGACTCTTTCAGGCTCTTAGAAGAATTGTCAGGCCCAATAAAGTCATTTATCCACGTGGAAGGCGTCACACAAAATCCAACAGTCCTGGTCTAGTGTTCTTGGCAGTAAGGTCGTAGTCGCAAATCGACACTGCCGGCGCAGATTTGGTCCAGCCTACCTTATCCCCGGGAAAAACCCTGTTTCACGCAACCAATCGCACTTTTCACTACAAAATATATGTTGTAAAATGGTAGTCAATGTTAAATGAGATGCCAGTAAGCAATGGGTAGCTACCAAACAGTCTGCTCAAGGTTGAACCCATTCAGATAACTCAAGATTCGTTGTCGTTGGCGACGCCGGATGACTCGTTTTTCATCTTCACTCTAGCGCTAGCACCTCTTCATGGATCACTAGTTCTGAGAACGTCGAATTCCACAAACAGAACGCTGATCGCCGGAATGAACTTTACCACCCGGGATATTGCAGAGGAAAGGTGAGCGGTAGACTGCTGTAGCAGGGGGTTTACATGGCTGCATGCGTATGAAGGGACGTGATTGAATCATTCCAGACTAATCTATTCCCATTCGGGATCGGAATCTCGCACGGATCGCCTGCATTTGATTGCTGAATCGGCGTTTCGTAAAGGACGACGCATCCCCTTCTGGATGTCATTCTCCATCATTCCCATCAACGATAATCGACCCCGTTTGCGTGGCAGTCACGTCATTCAGGTATGGTTCTTTATTTATTTACATTTCGTGTTTTTTTTTTGATTCATAGAGCATCTAATCTTTTGAAATTATTCATTTTGGAAGGCGTTGGTATTGATTGGGGAGTATTTGATCCCTCAAAAACAGTTCGTTCTCAGTTTACAGTGAAGTGTTGCCTCAGAACTTTAGATAAATGAAAATTAAAGGCACATTCAGCGATTGGATAGGTGTAAGTTATTGAACCGAATGGAAGCAGTTGTCGTGAATGGTCCAAAAGTGATCAAGAGAGAGTGGAAAAATACTGAAATTTTTCCAGAAAAAAAAAAGGCCTGCGCAAAGGTTACATACATGTGTAAGATGTGCCCTCGGTCCTTTCGGAAACCTTGTTGCTGGCCTCATCTCTGCACTGTGTTTCACCATAGGACAGGATACAAATCCCGCCATACAAATCGCGCCATGCCACTTCAGACGCTTTAGCGATTTTTTTTTTACTCACTTCGAATAGTGATAGACCAATCAGCTCAATTTACGCTCGGCGCAATAACCCATACCAGTAAAATAGCGTAAATGCCGTTATTGTGTTTTATCACCCTTAGCCAAGAACTTTAAAGGCACGAGTCGGGATTGAATTGATGCGTTATTTTGTTCAAACATTAGGCAAGGGGTGCAATGAGGAACATTAGTGAGGAGAAAAAGCAAAAAGCACCATAGAAAACACTAAATTTCCCTTAGGAGGCCGGCCGTAGTACGACGGAGAGACACAGCGCTGCGAGGAGAGGGAGAACGCGAGATAGTACGTCATACGTGAGAGACGCAGAGACCACGTATGCCGTGGTGGATTACGCTGGCAGCGCGGGCAGCGCGGCGGGCAAGGCCTTAGCGCCATTGCCGCGCACTTTTGGGTCGCGATAGTGTCGCGCCCTCAGTGCTTGGGGAGCCCACTATCGCACCCTGGGAAGAACTTCTGCTGGTTGCCTAATCCTGACTCGTGGCTTTAATGGAGTCGTGCATTCAAGACGACAGCGATTGGGACCAGTGTTGTAGGCGTGGCACGACACTCAAACTAGCAAGTTTAAATATGTAAGCACTGGACATTATTTACGATATGAGCGCACGTAGTTACCTGATTGGATCTGGTGGAAACTTATCACCCATGCTGGGGGGACGTTGCAGCAGTCTTTACAGTAATACACTCTCCCGATTAATTACCTCGAGCTTTAAAGGAATCTTCCACGGACCATGGACCAGTGGGCGGGACCGGAAGTTTTTGTGACGAAATGCATGGTAGGTACGGATCCACGTGTCGAACGCACGAACGTGAACAGGATTCACTTCAAACCTTCCCATGAACGTGGATCCGTACCTACCATGCATTTCGTCGCAAAACCACTTCCGGTCCCGCCCACTGGTCCATGGTCCGTGGAAGATTCCTTTAATCTCACTCTCATTTGATGAATTGATTAAGTGGCGGATCGCCTGCTACTATACACAATTTCATGCTCTTCTTCATCCTTTACGTTATATGAAGTTGGTTTTCAAAAGCCGGAACCCTCTGCGTTAACCTAAAAACTTTTTTTTTTCATTTTCCAGGACCAAATCGCTGCCAAAAATTCTGTGTCAACTTGCAGAACAGCGCAGTCACAAAATATCGTTAGAATTTCAGATCGTGGAACGAGGTGAGCGCGTCCTACATCCTGACCTTCTTGATTGGGTCGATGACGATCATGACGGTGTGGCTCCACTGGTGTTCAACTTCTATCAACCAATTAAAGTGAGTTGAATGCACTAGCGTAGCGTCAAATTGCGTGCTTTGCTTTTGAAGTGAGCTCGCAGTGAGATAAGCTCTGGCCACACCACTGAAAGCTGCTAGGTGGCAGTGATATGCTTGCAAATCATTGTTGATCGTGAAATGGTCCTCAAAGATGGAATTCTTGATAAGAAGGCGGTCCATTCTGAGTAGGATAGAGGTGGTCAGTAATGCCCGGATGAAGAAAAAACTATAAGAAACGACTCAGAACCGACTCTCCCCCAAGGTCCTTTAAGCAAGAGGGGACGTTAACGCCTCTCTTCTCTATGCTTAGACGACTGCGACAAGTGGTTAGCAATCGGTGGGCGTGGTCAGTCGCGGGAACAGCTATGCCAGGTCGCAGGGGGCTATCCCTCGCTGCAAATTGCGTGTCGGTCCACACCCTCAGGAGAGTCTGCCAGTCTCCACTAGTTAGGTTTCCCCTTCTTCGACCTTATTGGGGAATACCTCGGAAGTTGTAGCAATTGAAGAGCTATCTCATTTAGGTAGCATGCAGTGACTATTTCTGCTTTCGTGACATCCTTTAAAAAAAAATTTCAAATTAAAAACGCAACCGCTCAAAGAGCGCCTCAGGCCGTAAAAGGGTTTCCATGATTATTTTCGGATGCATTTGGTTTTTTTTTTTTTCAGGACTGCAGGCGTACTCTCTACTGTGTCGCCTTACCTGCCAATGACAACATTCACCGAGCAGGACCTTTTAAACGGCAGGGTTATGCTGCGACACCTTGGTCACAAGAACAATTTCACTGTAAGGTAGGTCTTTGTCGAAGGAAATGGCAGGTTCTTCGAAGCTGGAGTTATCTGGTAACTACGTAATATTACTGAAGGTTAACCGAACTATAAAGTTTCATGGAGTTTTCAGCTATACTGTAAGCGACAAGAAGCATACTGTAGAAGGACTGCTGCGAATTGTCGCTTCTGATCCATTCGTTCGTATTGGTGAAAGCCTTCTCGAATACTGCTGTCTTCCCGGAGACACACCGAACCTGCGTAGGTGTCGTGAGGCTTTATAGATGTTGCAGACTTCATCCAATGTCTCCATCTTGCAGACGTCAGCCCTGCGAATCTCTCAGTGTTGACGAATTTGGACGTTCGTCCTGAAGATATTGTGTATCAGAGCCAATCCGATAGCTTCGTTATGCAGTATCAGAAGTATAGACGACCGATACGCACATTCACTCAAAAGGTACTGTCGCTACATCTTATAAAGCAATTTTACGATTAAGGGCTAATTTAGCCCAATTTTCTGGTCTTGTCGAGATTGTAACCTCTCTGTAAATTTTAATGGGGTTATGGGAACTGGATTAACGCAAAAGGATGGCAACACTCTCACGCTTGAGAGCACTGGAGTTGATTTCAACAATACGGCTCCTCATACGCGAATAGGGCAGAGGCAAGTGGGGCCCATGGCCTGGGGTCAAACTTCGAACTAGGTTTTGCTTTGGCATTCATAGCCCTTCTGCTCGCCTTGGAGCTTATGAGACTTCCCTCACTCTCTCAGCTACGCTTTATTTACTCTTTCTTCTAGTTTTTTCATGTTGTTGATTATTGCATTGGAGTCTATTCCGGTTAGGGGGAGGGGGCATGCGGTTGAGAGCGCTCAATGTGTTCGAAACCACAAACAAATATTTTCCTAGCGTAAAGGTTCCCTTCTGACCCTCATCGTTAGTTCCCTTCTAACCCTTATCGTTAGAAGAGAGGGGTAACCCCCCTGTTCGTGAGCAATCTTCTCTTCTTCCCGGGGGACCTCCTCTCCATTCCTAGGCTTACTTAGCTGCTCACTATTACTTTTCATAGACGTTTGTGTCATAAAATACAAGAACCCATATATTGTATAAACAACCAGAAGAAAAACTCAAGAATAAAGCTGATAGCAGTTTGTTACTTTCAAGGAC